GAAAGAAAGAAAGAAAGAAAGAAAGAAAGAAAGAAAGAAAGAAAGAAAAAAGGAAGGAAGGTAGAAAGAAAGAAAGAAAGATGGAAAGAAAGAAAGAAGGAAAGAAAGAAAGAAAATATTAATTAACAATGGCAACTCCTGGGTGGTCTGGGTGTTTTTGATTCTTCAATTTTTTATGGTTTGGAAATTCCCTGTAATGAGGTTATTTTCATAATAATTTACAATTAACTTGTAGACAAAAATTGCAAACTATAATTTAAGAACATCCTAGCAAAAAAATACTAAGAAAAACTCAATAAGAAACAAAAATGAAACTGCCTACAGGGTCCATGTGTTAACACTGTGGGTGTCGTAGCAGAAACCCGAGGGAAAGGCAGGTGTGTGTCCTCAGCAAGGGCAGCGTGCCTGGGCTCCTTCCACGGAGAATGGGCTCCTGGCTTACTGAGAGCTTCCCTCTCTCTCCCCTCACCAAAATTTTATATATCTACATGTATGTAAAATTATACCTGCCTGCCCCTTTCTCTAACATCTGTGTCCTCTGTGGGCTATGCCTGTTTCATACCCACAGGTGAGGTAAGGGAGTGGGAAGAACAGAGATGCTGAAAAGAGATGGTTTCTTCCCTTTAGATGCAGACAAGGCAGTGGGAAGCAGGCTAACTAGGAGCATCTCTCCATGCTGAAGGTGCAGGGACCCCAGAAGAGGGGGTTGGTTATTTTGGAAGGCTTCACAGAAGATGTGACAGACAATATATATATATACACACACATATATATGAAATATAATCTTTGTGCATCTTCATAGGGTACAGCTTAAGTATGGTAACTCAGTACATGTATACAATGTGCAATGATCAAATCAGGGCAATAAGCACTTTCATCTCTCAAACATTCATAATTTCTATGTGTCAGGAGCTCTTGTTCTCTCCTAGTTATTTTTAAAGAGATCACTGTAGACAACACATTCCTTTAAAAACTAAAAGTAGCCTAACTGTATTTTCATGTGAAATTTCCCCAATGTTTAAATGACAGCTAATTTAACATTTTTGAATACAATATGTAGGGCAAAAAAAAAAATTGGTGGCTGAATTTATTCCACTAGTTTTATTATCTGCATTTCAACTAGGAAGAAATTTATTTCACAAGACTTTATTCTTGGCATCCTTTACATAGCAAGCTCCTGAGTTTAACAGAAATATGATTTGATCGAAAAAAACAAAGTATGTATCATTTTAGGAATGCATTCATTTCTAATTATAAAGTATCACCCAATAGGATGCTGCTACTCATCTGCCATAGGGCTCATCACTCATGGGCTGTCATGAGCTTGCTCACTGGCTCACTCACTTTCTCACTCATTCACTGCCCTTCTACATCAGGTACATGCTATCTGATGCAGCGAGAGGAAGGAGACTCAGTTACTGCAGTTCTGTAGCTCACATCTCCAGGCTCTGCATAAGGAGCCTTCTTAGATCCAATCTGTCAGTTGCACAATCTGGGCACTGTTATATGTTTAAAGGATGTTTAAACAACTTACTTGTATTAGTTCAGTTAGTAGGTGGTGGAGCTGGAATTCAACACAGTGGAGTTGATTTGCATTTTCAAACTCAGGTTGCTGCAAATCAAGTTTGAATCCACTCACAGAACCTCCACATGCCCTCCCGTGAGCATCACAACCACCTTTTACCTTGGTGGCCTTCAGCTTCCACTCATACTGATTCCGTTCATTTTCCAACTCTTCCACTTTGATTTTGAGGTGTTTCAGCTCTTGGAGTAACTCCTAGAGGGAAAAGGGAGAAAGACAAAGTGGTGATGATTGAAGAACTTGCCCTGGGTTTCCACACCTGGTTAAACTCATGCAGAAATGCCAGGGGCAGCAGCAACCGCAGTGGACTCCAAAAGCAGCTTTGATCTTCAAACATGGTCTGTGTTTCATGAAAAGCTGTGTGCACATTTAAAAACAATAGAAGTTCCAGGCATATGAGAGAGAAAATTGTTCTTTTCTTTTGCTAACCTGTTCTGCTTGTCCCTTTCTCTGACATCTGTGTCCTCTGTGGGCTATGCCTGTTTCATACCCACAGGTAAGGTAAGGGAGTGGGAAGAACAGAGATGCTGAAAATAGGTGGTTTCTTCCCTTTAGATGCAGACAAGGCAGTGGGAATCAGGCTAACTAGGAGCATCTCTCCACGCCAAAGGTGTAGGGACCCCAGAAGAGGGGGTTGGTTATTTTGGAAGGCTTCACAGAAGATGTGACAGCCAGCAGGACAGACATGAAACACTCACGAACAAATGCTAGATGTCGGCATGGGCATCCCAGTTCAGAGGGCTGGGTTAAATAAAGAAAGAAGGTCTGCAGAAGCATACAGGTGACAGTGAAGCTAAGGGGCAGAATGGGAGACGTTCTGTTGGGCTGGAGCAGAAGAGGGTGTTGGCACATAGTGGAAGATAAGGCTGGAAAGTTAAGATGGGGCTCTCCTATGGAGGATTTTAGATGAGAATATACAAAGTTCTGAGTCAGTTTTTTCAATAGCAGGGAGGCAGTGAAGGTTGGCAAGTGGGGAAGAGAGGCTTAAACAACTTGCTTGTATGGGTCTTTGCTTTTTAAAGTACCTACTAAGAAAATATTATTAAGCCCCGTCATCTTGAATAAAAATGTCCTTTAATGGAAACTTGGTCCTGCTGCCTAATTCCTAGCAGAAGAATTGGCATGAAAGTCATTATTCCCATAGGCTTTCTGAACACAAACTCGTACAACAAAACCTCTTACTTACCATGTCCACATGGATGCTACACAGGCATCTCAGGACTGTCGGGTCCCAAATGGAATTCTTCATCCCCACCTCCCACCCCAGTCATCTCTGCCTCACTAAATGAAACATCCATCTGATGTTCTGTGCCAGAAACCCAGGAGCCATCCTTGATATTTCTTTCTCCTCCTACCTTTATATACATACTAACTTTCAAAGCCTTATCAATTCCACCTCCAAAAAAATAGCTGGTACATTTCATTTCTCTCCTACTGTAGCACCATGTCTCTGGTCTAGCAATGGGAGCTGGGGCCCTGACAGTCTCTTCACTGAACTGTACCTCTATTGCTTGTCCCTCCTGAATACAATGACCTTGACAACATCAGGCAAACAATAGGATTAAGACACAAATCTGATCATGGTGTTCCCCTGCTCCTCAAAGCTCATAAACTTTAACACATGACTGGGTCAGTCTGACTTATTCTAGCCCCCTGCCTGCCTCTTGTATTACTCTTCTTTCCCAGTGAAGCTCTGGTCACATAGGATAGTTTTTAGTTTCTCTTCAGTCTTCCCAAACATTATTCCCTCTTCTGAAATTGTCTACCAAGTTAACTCCTGCCCATCATTTAGGCCTCCCTGAGCAAAGCTATCCTAACTTCCACACAGTACTAGGTCCCTCTGCTGCACTCCCTTGTTGCACCCCATGTGTCTCCTTCATAGTCTGCAAATACTTATTTGCATAATCACTAATGGCTCATTTTCTACCTATGCTGTAATCCCCTTAAGGTGCCTGCCAGCCTCTCTGATCATTCAGCAGTTGCTGGCACATAGTAAGTATATATTATTTGTTGATGAATGAATATCTGAAATTTGAGTCATTATTTAACTAACCTGCAATTCTTTACATTCTGAGCCAAACCATCTTAAAGTGACATTGCTTATACTAGAATTTGGTAGGGTAATTTATTAAGATTGCCTTCTACTTGAAGTGTGCATTTGTTGATGCCTGTTTAAAAAATAAATCTTCAAAGTTAAGGCCACTGCATCTATGATCTGCATCATTGCACTTCAAGGCCTTGGTCACCTGTTTTTACTTGTAGCAGATTGAGAATCATTTTCTAGGAACATGGCTGGCCCTGCCTGAAGGGCTCTAACACATAGCAGTTGGGGGTTCTGTTATGCTATGCCTTAGCAGGGCTACTCGGTTTGTCCTGATATGGCACCAGGCCCACTGACAGCAGAAATGGGAAAGTGTAGGTTACTGCAGCCCAAGCAGTTTGCATGATGAGGACACAGAATGCGCTCTCCAGGCTCTTGTGACTGCATTGGCGCATGGCCCAGAGGTCGTGAAATCATCCTAATGTGATTATGAGGAGGATTTATGTGGGGGAAATTCTGAGGATGGCTTAATTGTTGACAGCAAATGAAAACTTGTGCCCTACTTTCTCACTGGGGTAAACTTCTTTAAACATAAACCTAAAAAGACTCTTTTTTTATGACGCTATATTTTTTCTTTAAAAAAAAAATCACATGGAATGAAGCTTCACCTAATCCCCCAGCCCAGTAGGAGGAATAAGTATCTGGATCATATGTCTAGCAAGCAAATCCTGAGACCTCCCTGTGCACAGATGCCTCATTGATGGAAGCATCTGACACACCTTGCTCCTGGTCCTGAGGCAGATGGGTGCCACCACCTCACAGAGGGCTTGGCTCACCTGCTTAGATCCTGTGTAGTGAAGGTCCCAGAGGTCAGCCCACATCCCAGGAGGATCCAGCGAATCCCAGCTCTGCCCCAAGGTGTTACCAGTTCCATGCTAAGCCACCACACTCTGCTCCAGTTAGGACAAATCCCAGCCCTCCACCAGTGAGCTTCCCCACACACACATGCTCTGATATACTTAAGTGTGGTTCCTACAGGTGACCCCTCCCAAGGGGCACAGTCCTGGCTGCAGAGCTGAGGGTCAGCTGCACTGTCACTGTCTGCCACCTCATTGGGGTGGTCCCTATTGAGCACCAGGCGCTCTTGAATCTGCCTGTGGATGTCCAGCTGCAGCCTACACATCTGTTCCTGCAGCTCACTGATCACATTCAGAACCGACTGTGGGAAGGAAGAGAAAGGAGAGAAAAGCATTCAAGGTCAGTCAGCTGGCAGGTGCAGAACTCCCTGAGAAGGAGGGAAGGAGGGAGAAGAAAAGGCAGTTGGCAGAGGAGGGGACCAGCTACTCTCTGCAAAGGAACCAAAAGATGGAGTATTCTTCCCAAGACCTGTCCCATGCATGGGCCTGTCTTGCAGTTTGAACAAACCCTTGACAACTTTTTTGTGTCATCCTAAATGGCCATCTTGCATGTCAACATTGGAAGTTCAGAGTCCAGAACATCTCATCATCCACACAGAAGTGACAACAGAGACAGGTATTGCAGAGTCACACAGAGATTTACACCCCTCTTCACAACATGTCCATGCTACACATGCCAACTTCCCCATCCCTATACTCAAACATGTCAACACTCATGTACAGGTAGCATATACGGCACACACCACACTTATACGTGATCCTAAACTTATCCAGGTGTCCTTAGGTCTTTTGTAGTATTCTGCCTATATTTCCCCATCTTGTCCATGAGACTATCCCAAGCAGTGTTTTTGCAACACCTCGTTGAAGTATTTTACCTGTTTACTGCTATAAGACACATTGCAGCCAAACTAATGAGGCAGTCAATGGGATGAACTCCTAGTGGACATGGATCATGATCTTGTCTTCCATTTTCTGCAAACCATCAGAAGGTTTGTCTCAAACACCATAGACCAAGTTTTAGAGAACCCATGTAACTTTTTTTGCCATCTTGAAAATTAAGGAGGTCTGCACACGCCCTACCAAGGTCTCGAGACACGCGGAACATGCTGAATAAGCCCATGCCCGGGCAGCAATCCACTGGACACCCGCCCACCCTGCTCCTCTGTACAGCCACCTGGTTCCACACTACAAAGACGGAGAGGACACTAGACCACCAGACCATGGTAGTGAGTCCTGATGCTCCTGGCCCAGAGGTAGGGGCTTCTGAGCCGCCGTCCCACTGCTCCTGGTCCAGAGGAAGTGGCTTCCCACCCACCATCCCTCCCGCTGCTCCGAGCCCAGAGGAAAGGGCTTCTGGGCCATCATCACTACCGCTGGCCCTGGACCCTGGCCCACCTCTCCTAGCTCAGAGGAGGTAATCCGTGCAGGTGCCAAGAGCCGCCCCACCCCGCCCAGTCAAAATGAGAAAACACATAAATAAGTCTCAAAACCAGACTTCCAGATCACCTACAGCAACCCCAAAGGGAAATGAGATGGAACA